CCCCCCCCACATATGCAAGCAGAGCTGAAACGGAAAAAACCGGATTAACAACCAGAAAAATTTTCTCGCATCCAGCAAAAACTTTCCTAGGGTCAAATACTACACAGGCCCTCCCTCCAGAGATGTAGAACTACACCTCGCTGGAGAGTCTCCAGCGTACGACGTGCCCTATTAGGAATTAGCCAGCTTCAAATGGGTAATCCAACCGACAGTTCGTTAAATCAGCGACTAGGCTGATGCCTTCAAGATCCGAAGTTGACGTGTAAAGCACGGCGCAATCCCAATCTGCAAAGGGCACTTATTTTCACGAGTACCGCCCAGGAGCTTTGCTGATATTGAAGTACAATTGCTATATTCTACACATTGTGGAGGACTCCGTGGTTAAACAAACCACAAAACTAAAGCGGATTCTATAAAAATGATGAAACAGAAAATTTTGTAGAACTCAAATACATGGACAAATTTGTTGCTCAAAAAGCCTTGAAAAAAGACTGAAGAAGGAATAAAACGTGTTCTTTACGAAAACATAATGAAGGCCAGAATACGCCATATGCTGGATATATGACAAGTATTTCTGAGGTGATTGTATTGCACGTAATCAGCGCAATTGTAGAAATTGTCGAAAAATAAGCCATTGTATTTTTGAAAAAGTGGTACCTCTTCCATGATTTTGCTTTCCATCTGAGCTCGACCAACGCCAAAATCTCGAAGAACGTGCAGCGAAAATCGCCGTTGTTCACGCCACTTTGGACCGTCGATTTGAACGACACCATTTGCTCCACCTGAAATCGAGCAATTTCAGTTGCTGAAAGTTCCTTCTGAAGCCTTTTGAAGACGAAGAATCGAAGCGTGGGCGAAAGCAGGGGGAACACCTGAAGAGGGACTAGTACATCTTAACAGTCCAAAGAACAGGGTCAAAGAAGAGGACGCACCCTGTCAAGGAATAAACGAAGAGGGCAATATGTAGGGACCATGACTGGTGTGTTACTGGTGCGGCCTTTCAGACCAATGATGCTCTCCTGAGTCTGCAACAATCAGTAGAGAAGCCTGCTTTGGCTGCACTCCGACACACGCCCCTTTATACCCTCCCCCCTCGTTTGGACGGGCTATGGCTGTCCCTTGGTCCTCTCTACTCTTTGATAAGAAATAACAAAACAGTCAGCGTTCTTACCCTCCCAGACTATCAGCGTTCTTATCCTCCCAGAATAATCTGGTCCTCCCAGAATAATCTGATATTGATCTGCCGTCCCGAAGTATAGAAGGTTTGGTTCCTGAGCGCGAGCCGATTTAACCTCCGGACCGCGTGCATGGTAAGCGTGCCACTTGCCTCTACACCACCTCCGCCTCAACCAGTTATTTGAATAAAATAAAAAATAGGGGTGAAGCTTAATCAATTTTTGCTGTTTTTCACACGCTTGTCTCTTAAACAGAATCGTAGTGGCTTTCGGCATATGCCAAATCATTTGCATTCAAATGAAAGAAATATAATAAATGAATATATAAATAGAGTGAAAAAATACAAGACAGGTCCTATTCGAGTAAAAATTATCAGAGCTTTTCATTTCTTATGTTAGGGTTTGTACTATTTGTAAGCGGTGACAAAGCGCAGATACGCTGCCCAGTGCGCTACTTGTTAAGATAGACATGACGTTTCATTGACGTCATAGAAAACGGTAGTGACGTGTCTCGAAACGTCAGTGACAATGATGCATAACTGGCTTACTTGTCTCAACACGTTATATGGCAATCCATTTCTTTAACATGTCCTGCCGTTTCGGAAAATATTTGCAAAATAAGACCCCCTCTAAGAGTTTGCCATCTGGAACGACCCCCCTTTCCATCCTCCATCCCATTTAGCATCTTTTCAAATTTTCCCATTCAACTACCTGGGCATCACCATTCCGGAACTTTTTTCTGAAAATTCATCTACTTTAGTGAAAATTGGTGGGAGGTGATACCTTTTTGAATAGCTACGCTTTCATAAATGGTAGTCAGCAAGTGATGTTCAGAAAAAACCTATTAACCCCCAACGCTTTCTCTAAGCAATATGACCCCCACTAAAACCCGTGAGAGGCGCAATTTTCAAATGGTTTTGCTGAAGCGATTTCCACATTTCCGATTGTTCATAATTCTTTCCGCTAAGTAACCCTCGTGAAAAACTCTAATCTGCTCTGAATACTAAGGATGACCTCAATTTTGACGCCGAGGCGACTACTTTACGAATTGAGGACGTGACTTGCGCAGAAAAATGTGCTAATGGTCACATGGTTATAGCTATTATGTAATTCCACTCATGCGGCGCGACCAGACACCGAAAACGTCTGGAGAAATTTGGATTTGTGCGTCGGGAATGAGCCATGCCTTCGACAGGGTCTCCGAAATTGAGAGGCATTAATGGGTCTACAAAAGACCTCGAGTAGTAAAAGATAAAAGTAGTGTTCCTATCCCAGACAGAAAAAAATTGCTATCAAACAAGAGGAGGACAGTTTAAAAGTTGATCGTGAGTGGAGGTGTGAATTTTAGTAACTCCCTGCCCCCTCCTTCAAAATATCTCCTCTGGCAAGACCCCTTCCTAATCCACCATCCTACCTGCCATCCCTGAAAGCAACTGTCGAGCGAGAGGGGACAGGAAGAACCCAGGAAAGTCAACATCCAAGAGCATTTTCCTCTAGAAGCGAGTACGACACCCCCCCCTTCCTTTTTTCTTCATCAGCCAACTATGACCTCCTTGCAGGGCTGCTGCGACGCGCTCCAAACGCTTGACCACTTTCACCTTAGAAAGACAGTGGCTTTCAGGGTGGGATGGTAGATTCACGATTCGCTGGAGTCGATCTATTCTGGGCGCATGTAAGAAAGCCACATTCGCAACTGTAGACCCCTCTCGAATTCGCCACTCAAAAACGCGCGACAAGGACGCCAGTGGATTGTGATTTGTGACGGTTCACGCCCCCCTGGAAAGAGAAAGAGAAAGAAAGAACGAACGAAAGAAAGAATGGTCAAAAGAAACAAAGAAACAAGGAAACAAAGAGAGAATTAGACAAGCAATTTCAGAAACAAAGAAAGAAACCAAGAAATATAGAAAGAAATAAAGCAAGAAAAAAGAAAGACAGAAAGAAAGAAAGAATGAATGAAAGAAAGAAGAAGGAAAGACCCCCACTTCAACTGCAGCGCCAAAACTAGTACTTTCGTTCACTTGCATGCTTTCCCGCCTCTCGTCGTCTGGCCTCCCTTCCGAGACTCCAATATTTATTCGTTGCTCAGAATCGATTGCATTATTGAATCCCCATTTTAATCCCCATCGGTTCTTTGTACATTTTTCAATGGCGGGCCGTTCAGCACCTACAGGTTTTCATTGGGCCCTTACTGCTCGTACCGGATTATAGTGAACTATGCCTTTAAGTCCTTGAGAACAAGTGCATGGCTTACCCATGAATGTATCAGTGACGTGATTTCGCCATCGATTACTGAAGACTTCGGCATGCTGTATGAAATATTTCTTTATTGACGCTAAGTCGCCAACCATCACTAGTGGAATTGGACCGATCCAAATGGTAAAAACGCCACCGTAACGTTTTTTCCACGATTGGAACAGGTCGTCAACTGATGAAGCTGAAATGAGAACTTTCTTTCGTGGACACACCACTTACCAATCCATCATCAAGACCTGTTCAGCGTCACTATTGCTACATTTTCGCTCAAAAATTATTTCAGAGGTGACGTAACTGACCAAAAAGAAATGACGGCATATTTCCGGCTACAAGCCATGGTGTCGGTCCAGGGGGAAGTCGTCGTCTTTTATAGAACAATTCATAAGTGACATAGCCAGCGAGAAATAGTAGGAACGAGTAAATCTGAAGCACATCCTGCTTTGTCATCGATTCGAAAGACTACGAAGATTCAAAAGTCAAAAGCATCTCGAGGGGAGCCAACGTGACGCGTCATTACCACGCCAACTTGGGGATCCCCAGCAAAAAAGTCGTATTTAGTCGCTAAAGGTCGTGATCGCGTGTCAGAAAAATGTTTTCGGTTGTTGGCTTTTCTCGGCTTTTTTCATTTCAAGTGCACTCTATCCGTCTCGCTCCCCTCCCCGCTCAACGGCAGTTTTTCGGGAAAGGTTGAAAGAGCTTTTTTTGGGAAAGATCCCACAAAAATGATGGTAAGAGATAGCCTGAATGAGGGATGGGAAGGCAGGCAGAATGAGGGATGGTGAAGGTGGTCCCACTATAATGGCAAATTTTGAGAGGGAAAGGTGGTATTTTGCAAAAATTTCCCCCAACGGTGGGACGTGCCCTGGCTACTACCACAAGCACGCACCAGGGATCAATCCCCGCAGAGGTCCTCCGAACCCTCGATTCGTGGGTCGGTTAGCAAGCTTAATCTTACTCAAGCTTAATGGTAAGGAAAAACGCTTTTATTTAGCCGCTACTGAACACCATGTAGATTGATTCCCATTCAATTGTTATTATTCTCAATAGTTATGGAATGCGTGACGCATAAAAAAAGAAGCCAGTGAGTTGCGGGAGTTCTAGCCTTTGTGAAGTTGTATTTGTGTTAAGCCTCGAAGCCCCCCAGTACTATGTGAAAATCCAAAGTGGCCTTGCCCACGCATAGGAGGAGATGTTATATTGGCAAGTGGAGTGGTACAGCGTCGTTGGAAGAATTCCTCCAGGAGAATTGAAAGTGGTCGCTGGAGAGGGAACATCAGAGGAGGAAAGTTGACGTGATGACACTGGCATCACCACATCATGATGCTGTACCCTGGGGAGATTGCTCGCAGTCACGGGGTCAAATTTTGATCAAAATGGCTCCTAGATTCGCAAAGGACCACTCATATACCGGATTTGTCTGGCCAAATCGTATTCGAAAGCCACTATAACCCAGAACGAAAGTAGCATGCGTAACGCATCTCAATAAAGGATCGTCCAAGCCCACTAGCTTGTCTTCTTCAATCATGAAGTGAATTGATGGATGGGAACTGTCAGTCCTAGATCTTGTTACACACCGAATCCTCCTGTCACATAGCCCTTTAGGGTCAGCAAAGGGGCAGGTTTGAAATAGCGCCAGATCAAAACAAACGGTCTCAAATGGTGTATTCAGAAGGGAGATGACGGTG